GGGATATGAGATTTTGGTCATATCGCACAGCCCTAGTTACAGTAATATGTTACCGGTTAAGTTGAACAAACAACAGTGAAAACGAGCAAAAGAAATTGGGTAATTAATTACATTCTAATTCATTAGAAGGTAAGACTGTGAAATTAGCCGGGGACCTGGCAGCTGAGTTACTCTATATTTTATATCATTTTCTTATATCCCATAGGTGCGAGAACTTGAAGGCATCCCCCTCATCTTGGATAACTGCAACATTGACAGCAACAATCCTTGTATCCTTTCAGTGAAGTTTAAATATGAAGCTGTGGTAATGTAGCCATATTTATTTAAATCATTCTTCATATTTAAGCAAAAAGTTTGTGGGCTCTTTTGTAATTAAGATTTGTATATTTGTATATTTGTACAGTAAAGCTAGTGGCTTGCCTGCCCATGCACAAAAAACAAAACACAACTTTGCATTGAGCTTTAATTGTTGCAGCGTGTACTGGCTGGCAAGGAAAGAGTGCCGAAATGTGAAGAGAGTTATATTGCTGTGCTTGCAGATGGTTGACAGCATCATGTGATGGGTTGCAGTTGGTGTTAAAATGGCTAATTCAACATGCAAACTTTGTTTTGTAAACTTTAAATCCACTTCAATACACAACTAAAGTAAAATGCTAAACTTTCTTCTTCTATCCAGTGGAGTTACACTTTATTGGGCTTGATTCAATTAGCTGATGGGTACCAGCAGACCTTGGAAGAAAGAAAATAAACAGTTGGTACACTGCGGAGCTCCAGTTTTCACTTATTTATTGCACTAAAAGAAAGTGCCGCTTCCAGCACCACATTCATCAGACCCACAAACCCTGACTTTAAACTGGAGGGAGCTCACATATAATGTATCTTTGTCACAACTTTTTGACAGTCTTTGAGAAAACGCACATGTCTTCAGGTCATTGTCTTTGTTCCCATGTTTGTCTTTCATGTCTGCTTACCGACACATCCACACACACAGAACCACAACCCAGTCTATCTACCATTACATCCTGTCTAGAAAATGTAGTTATCTAGAAAAAAAAAAGTGTATGGGGTGACCTGAAATGCAAAGCATACACAACCTGTCTGCAAACCCGTTTGTTTGTTAGGCTGTCTTTGAAGTCAATAACCCAGGGAAAATAAAAACTGCTCATGAGTTGAGAGAGCTTGATCTATTTTCCAGGTTTTGTTGGTGTTGTATTTTCTTTCTATAACAAATAATTTCCTAGATCCATCTTGCATGACATCTACTACCTTGTAACTCGATGCCAAGCTGTTGGGTATTTTTTTTTTGGGGGGGTGCAATCTCACTGGCTTTACTGTACAAATATACAAAACTTAATTCCAAAAGAGACTGAATAACACCACAAATTTTGATTTAAATTGATGCAGTAGTGTTAAATGGATGTTTGTTTTTAGGCAATAGTAATGTGTTTTGTTTTGTTGCTCACTTTTAATCGGTTCAAAATCATCCATAGTTCTCATAAACCTGGCTGTGGTGTAACCCCTCAGTTTGTCCTTTGTCTGAAATGAGTAGTTTCAGCTATTCATCTCTCTTTAAACCTGATTTTTTTCTCATTTGCTGCCCCTTGGAAACACAAGGTTTGAAGAGCAGGTGGGTGGGGCCCTCTCTATGAGAAAGCCAGAAACTGATTCCCAAGCTTTTGTCTAACAAGGATTGCTTCCACATATGCTGACCGTATTATTTGTAACTTTTCCCATCTTTAATATGAAAATCTACCTCTGAAGCAGTATAAATATGAGGAGAAAATAAGGAAATAATAAGCATAATAAGTCATTGAAAAATATGTTTAAAAATAAAAGATGGAACAGCTGCATGTTCCACTCTCTAAAGCAGAAACTTTGACATTGTTGTCCTTAACTGGGCATTTCTAGTCATCAGCCAGTGGGCAATCTTCACCATCAGGAACCTCCTGGAGCACAACTTGGAGAACCAGAAACTGATTGCCACTTTGGAACGCTGCGGCACAGCTGACTACTCCGCGCTCAGGGAGTTGGGTTTCCTGGTGGAAGAGCGAGATGGAACCTTGCTGCTCAAACCTGTCAGGAAAGACTCCTAAAAAACATCTGTGAGGAGAAAGAAGGTCCTCAACCCATAAACAGGTTTCCATGTAAAGTAGAAGGGAATACATGAAATGTGTACGCTAATGGGTGAACATGCAGCTTGTGTTAAAAGCCTCATGAATGTTACCAAGTACTTAAGCAGCTTCTTCAGGTTATAGGCCTGCTTAGTATTAGACAAATATTATCTGCGCCTGTCCAGGATAACTAACAGTCACACTGCTGCCCACACAATAATCAAAAAAGTCCCATCAGAAAAGTATGTATTATGCTCTATAACGTACTTTTCTACCTCAGTAATGCTGGTACTCAAGCCTAAACTATTATGTAAACAAAAGATCTGTGATATAGAAGCAGAGGTCAGGATGCCAGGAGCATTGGCTTTGTCTTGATCAGAGTCTGGGAAATGAAGAGTTTGTTAGTGGCGAGCTCATGCTGGTAACTTTTGGCAGGGCTGATGCTTTGCGGTTTAATCCAAAGACAAAGAGCACTGCAGTATCCTGGCTTTTTGCTTTTCACAGACACAGATGATACCAGCAGGGGTTTGGGTTTAATCCCAGGCCCATAGTGACTTCTGCAGTAACCATGAAACAGAGAATGACCAAAACATGATGTAATCTACCCCCTCCCTGCCTTACCTAATTAAATTGAGGCATCTTGGTCACGATATGAAGACCTTATTCAAGTATTTCCAATATCCACTTATCTACACAGATATGGTATTAACGATATTATAAGCTAAGGCGATTTAAGGGGGAAATGCAGTAATACAAATGCATGTGTCGTTATTTAAAAACAAGGCCCAGTGTGTTTACCGTGTTTTTGCTTGCCTTTCCAGTTATTCTTGTTTTAGGATTATAACAGTATTAGTTAAATACTTAACATAGTTTTGTGAATTTCACCCTAATCTTCGATTTCTATCCATTAATGATTAAAAATAAGTCATTAGAGAGATCATGGCATGCAGGATGACTTCTAACCATTCTAGAATAACACCAACTTACACTTCACAATACTTTGAGCAATCTATTATTTATTATGCCAGACTCCGGAGACTTTTCCTGGAATATTTCATCAATATTGTATTTCCTGTTTAGCTGTAGCCATGTTTGGTCTGCTGACCTGTGATAGCAATTCTACATCAGTAGGCAGTAGATAAGAACATACTGGAATTGTGCATCTGCAGAGCGAGTGAGAGGAATGGGACCATAAGCATTAGTTTGCAGAATGACATCCCTCCTGCTGCTGGATAAGCTGAACGGTCCTGACAACTCAACAAAGCAGCGCTTTATGCGCCTGCCAACACCCTGCTCCACCCTGTTTGCTCTGCACCTGATTTTTTAATGACAAAATGTGTTGAAACAATTGGTCGGACTCTCCTCTCGATCCGCCAACATAGTGAAGGGAGCTTATGGGGTTCCGGTCCCCAGGATTTCAGACGGCTAACAAAACAGCTGTTAGTCGCACTTGACTGAATGGCTGCAATGCTTTTCAGCCTCACAGGAAAGAGCCTGTGCAAGTCAGCCTGCTGAATGAGGTGGCATGGCTGCAGCCATGTGGTCATCTCCTAACACATTAGTAGCACATTGGTCAAGGTCATGATTTCTTGTTTCCCATGTCAGCATTTTACACCACAGGCCTCTACTATAATGTACTTGTGCCTTCTGATTGGGGTTTCAAAGCTTCATTTTCTTTGGGTCGTACTATGAGGTTATGAATAATGAGTTTAATGCATAATAAAGGACTGCGTGTATCAAAGAGCTCTTTGTTTTTATTGAAATATTTTTGGCCTTTTGTGACACAAAACAAAAAAGCTAGAGGTGCCTTAGAAATTTTATTGGTAAAAAAAAAAAAAAAGAATGAAATACAACTGTCAATGTTTGTGTTGCAGACTCTAATTTTGCGACAAAACAAATAAAATACAGATTTAGTTAAATTTCTTTAAGTTATAGCTATGCTTTTAGGAAACTGTTAACCAAAAGCACCATTAAGACAAATACAAAATACATGCACTTTGTTTTACACTTCCATGTACCTTTTTATTTTTATTTTTTTTATAGGGGACCTATTATGCTTGTTTTCCAGCTGCATATTATAATACTTGGACTCTAGAGTAGCTTTGAGTGATTCACAGTTCAAAATAATCATTATTTATCTTGTATTCATCCATTTCCTTTAATAAAACCCTCTCATTAAGTCAACTTTCTTCTGATTGGATGCCATTTACAAATGCAAGATTTGTCCCTTAGATGACCATATTAGGATGCCCCCTCTCAGTGAATACTACACAGAGCCGAAGTTGGAAAAACACACTAAAACTAAGTGTTTAGTGCAGTCTGAAGCAGGATTTCAGGCGTCATTAATTGAAAACCTTTCCACGTTTAATATGAGCACCCACCATTGTAGCATTATAAATGTGATAGAAAACAAGGAAAAGCACAATAGGTCCACTTTAATAGTGGTTTCCACTTGCCTTTGCATTACTTTGATTTGACAACTAACTATTAGAGCCCACTCTGAGTTATGAAGGATCATGTGAAGATAGACGATCTGGTCAACTTTTGATAAAACATGTAGAATATTTACAGTTTAGGAACCTTGAAGAAAAACAAAAATTCCAAATAACTTAAAGCTTTTCAATCTGTATACAATGATGTCAGAAAGCACTCCTAAATAGTGACTTTCTTTCCACCTTAAATGACATAAAGTGCCACGTTCCTCATATAAAAATATACTCTTCAAAATGTTTTGTAAGTTATATAAAGCCTAAATAAACATTTCTGAATACATTAAGGGTTCTGTCCAAAAATAGCTTTGAGGCCTTTGATCCTCACATACCCTCTTCCGTGTGGTTGGGGTACATGCCATCCATCCAGGCAGGCCTAAACCGCGCTGGAAGGCCTTGTGTAAGCACAGACCATGAATGTGGAATTCCACGTCTCTGCCGTTCATGGGAATGCTGGATGTATCTGAACCTGATTGCACCTCTATAGAGTTCCAATGAGGCTTACATGGTTTTCACAGAAGTCAAGAGCCTTCCAAAAACAAAACAGTGAACACAGTCAAGACGAGGTGCCGTTCAAACTGACAAGTACGGTGCTTAAAAGTACTTCATGTGTATTTTTCTGCCTCTTTGGTTCTTGGCATAGGAAAGCATCGGCGGTGAGTGTATGTCCATGACCCAACAGCTCCCCAAAGTAACCAATGTCTCATGACATAAAAAAAGAAAACATAACCACGTGAGTGCAAAAAAGAATAAAGCACTAGTAATTTGCCCTTTATGGGAGGAAAAAATGGAAAAAGATTATTTTTGCTGTTTAGTTGCTGTAATTGAGCTTCCATATGAAAAAAACCATTGTGGCCTGCCCGAAAAAAAATGCCAGAGCACGTGAATTTGCTAATCATCCTCTAAGTGTGAAAAATATTTTGACATAAATAATTCATTTTCAGTGTTCAAACCGAATACAGTGTAGAGCTGAACGCATTCCGCTGCAATCTTACTTCATAGTATTTCCAGTTAGCGTGTTCCAGACGTTTTCCAAGATCCAACAGTCGCCTTTCTCTTCTTCTGTAGAACATCTGTAGGATACCTCACTGATATTATCTTAAAAATCCTTTCACTGTCATGTCACTTTTACTCTAGCATGCAAGCAGTTACGTGTCTTAAATATTTATGTCTGTTGCTCCCAAACAAATTCCACGTTGTTTTCCATTCCAGATGGGATGTCAGAATGTGCAAAATGTAATAAATACCTCCAAAATTCTTCACTTCCAATTCCAGCTTCTCATATTCCCTTCCCTTCGTACCCTTGTCCCTTTTCCCTTCCTTTCTCTGTACCCTGCCTCATCGTTTCCTCACTTGCAAGTAAAAACCTCTGATTTCTCACTGCATGTGTTGCACTTGACGAAACAGCACCAGTGGAACTTGCAGTTGCACTGCCAGACTCGCGTGTAGTGGTGTGTGTTGTGACCCCGACCACAACACATCACGTTACAGCCGTCTGCGAGGCTCGAGGTGCCGTTGCACAGTCTTCCTCTTGTCCCTGTGCTTCCTGTGGCCCTGTCCTCTTCGCAATAGTTGGGAGAGCGCTCCAGGTACACCAGGTCTGTGTCTGTGGGCTTTTGGTAGCCTCGAGCCTGTTTGAGACGCAGGAAGGAGGGTTGGCGAAGCCGCGTGGCTCGAACTGGCTCTACTTGAACTGCATCGCTGTAGCGTTCCTTCAGCAGGTTTCCGATCTCTCTGAAATTTGGCAGGGTGATCCAACAGGTCTTAGTAGTACAGGAACCAGATACACCATGACACTTGCACTCTAGCTTCATTCTCTCCTCCAGGATCTGAGCGCACAGAGAGTAGATATTAGGTTGGTACACATTAATCATGGTGGTTAAAAGCCTAATCAGTAGGATAAATAGATACAGGATAAACTAACTATAGTATTATACCGTATTATAGTTATAGCTGACTATACCCAGTAATAATTCATGGTCAATAAAACACTCTTGTACCTCTTGTCCTCACCTTACCTTGTATTTTTATGTTAAGCAGAATGCTATTCCTAAAACTTGGCAAAGAACTTAAGAAAGAGTATTTTGAAAACACAGGTCTTACAATAGAAACTCAATGCAATAAAAATTAATTGCACCTGAGATTGCTTACACACAAGAAATCTCATTATCATGAGAACAAACTGAGTAAATCCTTGACTTCCAGTTGGCCTAACTGCTGGAACATACCCAACTCAAAATAAGTTAACTGAACATTTGGTCATCAAAGTCAGTTAAACGTCATGGATATAAACTTGCCCATTTAGGAAGCAAAAACCATTCTGATTTAATCTGCTTTAGTGCCAATGAAAGTGACAACAGGTGCACTGGAGAGCCAACAAGACAGTCGCCACAAAGGGAATGGTTTTGTAGGTGCTGGCCACAGACCATTCCTCTCTCCTCATCCCACCTGACTGAATTTTCTTCAGTTTTGGCTACTGCTAGTGTCCTCGGTGGTGCTTGGGGGTGCTGGTACGTAAATCCTAACCCATTCAGGGTTGATCCATCCAAGAAGGGTTGCTGTATTTCCCAGCACACTCTCAACAATGTGGAGGAGATACCAGGAGATGGACCGTTACGCGAGGAGAGCTGGACACGGTTGTGTAAGAACATCAACGCACTAGCAGGTCTGGTATCTGCTCCTTTGTATGAAGAGGTGCAGGAAGTTCACTGCCAGAGCCCTACAACATGAACATGAAAGCTATTTATGCATGTTTTTCTGAGCAAACACTGTCACACTGAGCACATGTGACAGATGCAGAAGAGTATGGAACTGGTGTGGCAAACGTTACGCTGCCTGCAACATCGTATACAAGGATGAGGATAAGGAGACAGCAATGGTCTGTGGGCATCACCTGCAAAACCATTCCCTTTTCGAGGATCGTCTCCACATGTTATCACTTTGATTTTAATCAAAGCAGATAAATTCATTCAAAGTGGTTCATGCTTCATAACTAAAACTTTAACTGATTTTTGTGTTACACTACGATAATGAAGTGTTCCCTTAATTCTTTTTTTTAGCAGTGTTGATCCCCCTCAGCCCTTTTAATGTTGACGCTATGGGCTGTCTGTCTGCTTGGCTGCTTTATGGCTTCTTATAGAGTAGAATTGCCAAAGGAATTGAAAAATAGGTTGGAAAAACATGGAGAAAGATCAGTAACCGACTCAAAAGCAGTCAAAACACAGCTGCAGCACTAATCAAGAGTAACAGAGCCAGCCATAGTGCCACTGACCTCCTGAAATGTCACCACAGACCATAGTCTGTAGACTAGTTCAAATCTGAGAGGTAACTTTTGAGCCTCTGTTTATCTTATCAGTGAAAGTCAGAGTTTGTGTGACATCTGAGACAGTGCGAAAGGACGGTGCAAGCTCTAAGGATGACTTCCAAAAAAGGTCCTGCTTGCTGTTCCACACAAAAATTGGTTTTAGGAGAGCATTCTTTGGTCAGATGAAGCCAGATACATTTATTTTCTTTAGATAGGTTCCAATGTGTTTGGCGCAAACTCATCCAGGACCCCCACACCAGCAGTGAAGCTCGAAGGTGATACGGGGCTGAATGAATGCAAAGGAGGTTGAAGAGATGACATTTATAGCTTGGGCCATGGCTACCCGTGGAAATCCCAAAATACCGGCTGACAAAATGACTGGCAGAAGACGAATATTCCAGCATGATAATCATCCAAAGCACACAAAAGTTTCTAAAGGAAGGAAAACTCAAAACTATGACCAGGCCAAGTATATTGCCTGATTGGAATCCAGCAGAACACCAACAGCTGAAAGAAATGTCTCTGATGAACGGCACAGCATCTCTTCAGAAAATCTGTGTGACACCGATATTCTTCATGCCAAAGCGGATTGAATCTGTTATTAAAAGTTGCTGCTCTGGTTTCCTGGTATTTTGAATAGAATCAGCCTGTTTTTAATTTCACAGGAGAACAAACACTTGACCATTCAACTTAAAAGTAAGCAGCTAGTACAAGTTCATCATTTTGAATAATTTGACATTTAATTGACGTTGCGCGGGGGTGTACACACTTCTGTGTGTTGCGAATGGTCATTTTAAATTTGCAGGTCCATTGCTTAAAATGCCTAATAGCATTCGCTCAGCCTTAAAGTCTGTCTGTTCTGGTGAGTTGGGTTTTCTGTGGGCACTTCAACTTTCAGCACAGCAACATATAGGCCAACTTTATGTCAAAACCTGGGGAAAATAACTCATACCCCCGAACTGTAGTCTGTAATTAACTTTACCTTTGCTGAGACCACAGAATAGCATGTCAGCCCGAGAAAACTGACCAGAGCCGTTGTGCAACCATGCATGTATAGAGTTACATTGTGGTTTGAGCCAGATTTATATTATATTGCCATACAAATATTTTCAGATGACAAAATTGACAGGTGACTGTTTGCCTTGGTGACCGAGCTGTATTTTGTTTTCGATGCATTTTCAATGTGAGATGACTTAAAGCTCATAATTACATCATGTTGTAACTTGTTTGTCTACAGCTCTGGTCTTAAGAGAAACTCTGTCTTTCCCCTCGTGGTTATCGCATTTTTGGAAGTCCCTCCGGTCGGTTCAGTATTTGTGGTGGCGCAGAAGTGTGGTCTTTGGTGCTGCCGCTGAGAAAGGAGGCGGGGGATAATATCCTCAACTCTGACTTAATGCTTAGTAATTCAGTGAATGGGCTGTAGGCCTGTGGCACAGCTCCATTTGGGAGTCGTCCTTACCAACCCTCACGTTTTATGTCACACATCGTTTAATTATTATTTGCTTTATTGTTTCGTTTACAACTGGTCAGACAGAGTTTTGTGATCATGTGTTACCTTTCGCCCTGCCTCATTGTTGTGCAGGTTCATCAGCCTCCGGGCGTTTTTCTTGATCTCGCGAGCGTCCATGAAACGCCGCGAAAACTCCACGCCGTATTTGACATCAGCTGAGCAGCCTCCCCATTTCCAGCCCTCCTCCTGGTCATTGTAGCCCTGCTTGTCCTGGTCACAACCACACTGGCTCAGATTGCCTTGGCTACACGCTGCAGTTACTGCGTGGGCAACTCCAGCAGCCGTGATGGCATAAGTGAACGCTGCTTCCCTGCTGCCTGAAGAAATAGAATCATGTTAATATACCGAATCCATTGTTATTCCAATATTAGGTTCATAGAGATGCTGATGGACGTGAAGGAGGCCATCATTAGTCTGAAAAACCAGACCTATCGGAGAGACAGCAGAAACTTTAGGAGTGGCCAAATCAACAACCTGGTTCACTCTTAAAAAGAATAAATGCACCGGCCAGTTCAGCAACACCAAAACCAACACAGAAAAAAATTGAAATATATGTTCACATGGTCAAGAAAAACCTCTTCACAACTTCACAACAAAGTCAAGAACAGGTGGACCTGTTGCTGTTGTCAAAGTCTACAGTCAAGAGATGCAAAAATCTAAGAATCAGAGCGTTTACGCTAAGGTGCAGATTGGTTAGGAAGACCAGATTAGACTTTCCCAGAAAACATCAAAAGAAACCTGCAGAGTTCTTGAAAAGAAATCACTGGACAAATGAAACCAAGATGAATTTGTACCAGAATGATGGGAGGAGAAAAGTATGCAGAAGGAAAGGAACAGCTCATGATCGAAGCGTACCACACTATCTATCAAACATGGTGGAGGCATTGTTATGGTATACTGCAAAAGCAACCAAGAGTTTCTCCAGGCAAAGAGAATGGGCAAATCAGTCACCTGATCTTAATGTAGTGGAGCATACCTTTCAGCTCATGAGGACACAACTGAAGGGATTTTTAACATTTCCACTTGAAAAACTGAATTGAACTGAGCATTGAAATATTTAACAGACACTCTGCAAGAGGAATGAACCCCTTCGATACTATATTCATTTTTATCAAGGCAGCAACCTGACAAGATGTCAGAAAGACATTATTCTCTGTCTTTCTGACATCTTTTCAAATGCTCTTAGCAAAAAGTGTTACTATCAGGAAAAAGTTGGACTTAAAGACAATATAGCATTCAGCATTTCTGGACTGTGGCCCATGTTTGTAAGCTTAAAGACTTTTGTCTTGACCCATTGAAAATCACTTCTGATGTACTGATTCCTTGACACTACCAAGTCACTCCTTTTAGTTAATTAGCCCTCTGCTCAATTAGAGGTTATGCAGACCTATGGTAGAATTACCATGAGGTCACCAAACCGCTGAAGATCTATTTTCTCGGGATACCTTAAAGCTTCAAGGATTCCTCCTATTAGGCTTTCAAGGGGTAAAGAGTTAAATCAGGACCTCTCCAAAACTAGCATTCTTTTTTGAAAAAAAAAAGAAAATCATTTGAAAACACATTTTATGTTTTTGGCTTTTAAACTAGGCTGAATATTTGGCATTTGCATATACTTGTCCTGTTTTAACTTTTCCTTTTTATTATTATTTTATTCTCTTTTAGCTGTGAAGTCTGTCCTAAGGTCCGTCCAAGTAAAGCTTGGTCACCATGCATGCTTTGTAATGCCCTTCTTCTTTTTTTAATGATTTGATTTGACTTGACATCAAATAACACGCAAGGCAAAAATAAAAGAAAACACTTCTGTGCGGGCAGACAAAAGGCCTTTCAATTTTATGGGGTTACCCCAGCAGCCAAACATTTGTTGCATTTCACGACAAGTTCTCTAGTCCCTCGTTTCCAGCTTTCCGGAAAAGGCAAAAGCCCTCAAAATGTATTGAAGTGCAAAGCTGGGTTGCTGCTCTTTGGCTTTAGAGGAAAAAAAAATTCATTGCTTTAAGGACATGATTAAATATGAAAGGGAGCAGTGGTGTATAACAGTATTTGTTAATGCCTTCTGTAAATTTACTGTAAGAGGCAAAATAATGAGCCTAAGAGTAAAGGCACAGTTTCATGACTCCATCTTTTCTCCGTAAGCCTTGTTTCATGCTCCATCGCTGATCTGCACAGTTAGTCGGTAACTTTTGAAGCAGTGATCACCATGGTGAAGAAAACACAAGTGACATCTACTGGCTGACTGGAGGAGCTTTTTTTTCCCTTTAAAGATCAGCACTCGCAGTTATTTTGCTTAATGTTTTTCATCAATGGGATTTCTCACGCAGCTCAAGTGTCATTCTGTCTCTGTCTTAGGCGGTCCGCATCATTCCAGCAAATGATACTGCTGTGTGTTGCATGTTGAAATAATCTGTGGCCAGGCTCGACTGAGATGTGCCCATTTCCAAGCTTTTTGCGTGTCACCAATCGAACTTCAGAATAAACACGTTGATATTTATGGGGTGGGGGAGGGGGGCAGAAAGGGGATGGATTTATTGGCACAGAAGCTGGTAACAGGATATCCCCGCTCACCAATCAGGATAATGCCGGGCCTCCGTTCTTCTGAGCAGCCCCAGAGTATTAATCCATGGCGTCTCTGGTGGAGGCGATTCTAATGGCGCGCCTCCAACCTGACAAACTCGCTCTCGCAAACCATCAGGCCTGCGGTTCGCTCGTTCCATAACTCAAAACAAACTCTTTAGTCGTCTCTCATCAGGCCGAATCTGCGACCCATTCGGATATATTGTATGGTTGAGTCTTTCTCCATGCATCAGGCGCATTCAATAGCCAAACAGCCATCTCTTCGCACTGTGATTTGTTTTGATTGTACAGCAGTGCATGCAGGGTTCCATTGTTGCCATCCAGCTGCTGGAGCTGACTTCAATTAGTGGTTTTGCATGAATTTCGCTGGTTTTTCTCAACATTTAATGAGTTCACAGGCTCAGCAGGTCAATCAAATAAAGTGGTGGATGGCACATTGGCCACATGAGAGGGGGCTAAGACCCTAGCTCACATTTCTGTCTTTAAGACTAAAGAAAATGGGTAAGAATCAGGTGACAGATGTGTGTGATTTTACAAGAAATTATTTTACAAACCCCCCTCCCCCCAAAAAATCTAGAAAGCTCACACATTTGTTGCAGCCTGCTAACTAGTTTACTTCTTATTAAAATAAAGTATTTTAATTGTTCCTCATGGAAAGGGCACGAGGATCAAAGTAAGGTCTAGAGCGTCTCTCTGAGTCTTGTTCACACACCACAAAAGAAAAGAGACATTTCCTCTGACAAAAGAAATAAAGCGATCCAGACGTCTCGTCTGCCCGTCTCCCATGTTGAAGAAAGTGATTGCTCCCAGAGATGCTAGATTAAACGTGCATCCAAACCCACAGCGAGACCGCAACAAAACAGCTCCAACTACAATGTGATTTACATGAGAGGTTCACATTAGGAGCAAACACGCTCCTGTGAGGAATAAAACTGGGAAGAATGTGGACTAAAAGCGGGGAGGTGTGTTTGTGTCTGTGTTTATGCATCGCTTTCAGAGATGGACCTAAAGCGAGGCTTCACAGAGAAAGTCTTTGCCCCATCAACCACGATGCATGGCAAGCAGAGTCGCTTAAATCCCCTTTGGGAATACTAGCAAAGCCGTTAGAGTTGGAGTTTGTTCATTCATTGTTCTCTCGTGTGGAGCTCCAAACAGAAATGCCTTCATCAGTGCTCCAACTTTTTCCTCACAGCGCTGACAATAGTGACAGGACGTTCAAAGTCAACACTAGAAGAATGAGAAGAGATTCTCGTGGCAAGAAGAATGGCTTCGTCTACGCGCTGATGTTCAACTTTCAGTGATGGGAAATCTCGGCTGGGCTTGGTTTGAACAGTCCACCTGTTATCACATCTATCATTTCCACCTGTTGGACCTTATTTAATTTAATCAGACTGTTGTAAAATGTTAGCCAATAAACTTTCTTCTGTCACCTTTTTACTCTCAATAGGTCATATTATATTAAATATTGTCAATCTGTACTTGATACTATGTCAGTATCTCAAACACCCCTGTCTCGTCCTTGAAGCTGTTCAGTCTCAGCCTACTTTTCACATATTCTACAATCTACAAGCAGGAACCTCCATGGTAGAACCCAAAGTGTAAAACACTGCTGTTCCTCCAATGGCCACTAGGGGCTGACTCCAAAAGGTACTCATGGTGCGTTCCTGAATAAGTCAGAAATTATGATTTGTACATTTTTTGTGGAAAACCCCCTCAACTTGGATTTCCCATTCAGAAAAGTTGGAGCAGACCAACATACCCTGAGATGGCAGCAATAAACATAAACAGTAGAAAAACGGTAAACTTCTCATCCGTACTACCACTATTCTGTATTTTTGACTCACTAAATAAGCATTTTCAGAGCACTCAGGCTCTATCCATGAATGTGTTTTGTATCACAAAAAAAAGTGTAAAAAAATATGTATTATGCAGTGTTGCTAGTAATACCTGCATGGCTCTACCTTGCTAAGAACCAAAACAAATGCTGTTTTTCCTGTCTTTTTCTGGAATGTGCTAACTCTGGAGTGATGTCACTCCCAAGTTTTGACATTCGAGTGCCGAGGTATCTAGAACGCATACATCAGTCCATACTGACTCAGTTTTGAAATAACCAGCATTAAAGATGAAATTAACAATGTTTAGAGCATGATACGAAACACAGATTAAGTCTCTAAAGCCAATCTTCCTCTTCATAACAACTGTAGGAAGGCAGAATATTTCCTAACTCACCTGTTTGGATCTTTTTAAGACTTAAAATTTGGGACACGGTCTCTTTGATTGAAATGAGCATTGACACACCTCTGCTAAGTTACTGAGCTGAGATTCTTGGTATGTTTGCACTAATGGTGTATACATAATTTCCTTAGGCATTATTAAAGGATTCTGATTCTGATTATCTTGGGATTAACTGACAAACTATTTTGGCCAGCTGTGATGTCTATGTCATGAAATATTTTTTGCTTCAGTGTTAGAAATTTAAATTCTAGCATATGTTAGTTAGCACAGATTTAGCAGGTTCGTATAGCAGTATATTTTGTGGCTGTAGCTTGCTAACCAAGTATGCTACCATTAGCTGATAACTTATGTATTGACTTGTTTGTCTTTATGTAGTCACCTCTGGCTCAAAAAAATCCAACATGGTGCAAGCAAAACAAAAACGTATCTACAATCTTTAGCTAACCATGCAGTGGCTGCCTCCATCTTTCGCATACAGTCTATGTGTCTATACAGAGAAAAACTGTTAATACTTCTTGTAGAAGCTGACTTTCAACCAGACTGACCTACTCTCAGCTCTTGTCCAAACACGGTCCTCTCTCCCAGGGCTGAGCAGTTCCACCGGCCGTAGCGGAACTGGTACTGACACTCGTTGATGCCCAGCTGGGCACCTTCACCAATGACGATGATGGCATCGGGGCGACTCTGACAGAGGGCTCTCTGACGTGGGGCCAGTCCAGGTATCTTGTTGCAGATGATGTTGGCACCCAGAGCTACCACAGAAGACAACGCCCTAGGCAGAGAGTAATGGAGCGTATTGAGAGAGAACAATAGAAATTATGGAACTGAAATCTGAGTGAAATCAGAAAGATTTGAATTCTGCCCCCAACTTAAACCTTGCTTGGGTATCAAGATGTTATTGTCAAGAGGAGAAATGGGTACATTTGTCAAGATAACTAAATAAAAACACAAGTCTTATCATGTTTGATTTAATGGACTCTAATATAGACATAAGAAAGTGCTGTATTTAATTAGAAAAACTGGTTTTCAAATTCAGACATTTCTGTCCACCTCTCTTTCTCTATATTATATAAAACATGAACCAGCACTGCTACTTTAAGGCTTCAGAACCTGCCCTTAATATGAATGAGAGGCATGTATGGTGCAGCAATCATTCTCTCTGTGAGGGTCTGGGTCTTTTAATGTTGTAAGAAAAGAGCTCATTACATAGGCCTGGGCCTGTGGGCAAAGCATGGAGTAATCCAAAAATGAGGCTTTTCCATATGCTGCTTTCCAATTATGGCCCTTGTCTGACGAGGTGCTTCTATGACAAAGTGGTTCTGGTGTAATGTGTAAATCCACGAGGGCAGGTTATCTCATCAGCTGCGCACACACTAGGACGTGCACAAATCTTGCAGATTAAATATTGGCTACATGCATACACTCAAGCGAATTCATTCAATCTTTATGACTCAATATGAGACGGAAAATGACACACGTGGCCATATGTTGAAGGAAAAATCCACAGCTCTTGTTCCTTTGGCAGTCTATGATAGAATAAAATGAAATTAACTGTACGACACAAATCACGCATTTCCTCCCCATGTTTCCCGTATATTGAGGCAATGTATAGTCCAAATTTCTTTTTACCCCACTTTCTAAAATAAAATCTCTGCCACACCAGAACGAGATGCAAACACGAGTCGGATTTCTTCATTTTGCAAAGTCAAATGCTGAGCTAAAAATAATAATCATCATAATAAAAAAAAAAATCAGCTGTAATAAACACCTGCACTAAAAACAAAACAAAACTTCGCTCTCTGTTAGTCCAATTTCCCTGTGCGTAATTGGCTAATTTGCGCACAAGGCACTACTACCTGCTGGAGAAATTACACGTGTTCATTCAGAAGAAACCTACAGGTAGCTACCGCTGGTGAGGATGAGGAAGATCTGTGGGTAGTAGACGGACAGCAGCGCACTGCGAGATGAGATGATGAGCATGGTTGCGCATTGAACACAGCTTGATTTGCTCGCTTGGGTTTAAGAAAAAAAGGGAGAAGAAGAATTGAGAACAAATGTATCCTTTTTTTTAGAGTCCACGCAAATGCAGAGCTGTTTGCCTTCTTTAGCTAACGGAGCCGTGGCTGTCGGCGGCTGTTCCCAGCTCCGCTATCCGTGTGTTGTTGGAGATGAGAGTCTGCATCCCTCGGCCGATGTGCGCTCTGCCACCTGGACTGAAAGCGGGCTAGGTGTTAAAGGCGAGAGAGAGAGAGGAGAGAGGGTATAGGGAGGGGGGGAGGCAGATGGGGTTCCGGATGTCCGGATGCGTCTCCAAAAGTGAGACTGTTATAGTATTTGGAGGGGAGAGAGACGGTGGCCTTTTTTCCCCGGTGCACCAGCCCCCGGGATGAGGCTGCACACCCTGCATCCTTCTGTGTTCCACCCCCTACACACCTCCTACCCACGTCCACGCCTCTCCCACCCTGCTCTCTTTCTCGCGTTTTTTTTAAAAATATTTTTTTAAAGTTTTTTTTTTGTGGCAGTCGATCGCTAAACGTGTTTCTCGTTATTCCTTTTTGTCCTCATCCCCCCGTTGTGCTCGGACCCGTGACCACTGCAGGGTTACAGTTAAGTCCAGCACATCCAAAACTTAACCAGTAATATTGTTAACTCTGAAAAACAACAATGTCAGAGAATAACTGCATATTTGAATTACCCAAAATTGGCTTCAGTGTTTTAAAAATAATAATCTTCTGGGTTTTTGGCAGTACATATATATATATATATATAAATTTTATTCTTATTTATTTATTTATTTATTTATTTTTTGGAATGGCTTTAATAACCATTACTTGCACTCCCAAAGAGACTTAACTCTTGGAGTTCCAGTCTCTCTCAGCTGGTTGGTGTTTGCTGAAATGCTTCAGATTTGCAGTGTCTCCGACTCTTCGAGCTTCCAGCTAATGTGTTGTGGTTGTACCCTCCGACAACACGCCCTCATGTGGTGACATGAAGGAACAATTTCACTCAGCTACATAACCGGTGCCAGAATGCGCAGGAGTTGGTGTTGCATCTGCAGAGTTACAGAGAACTGCTGTAACTGTTTAACAAAAGAGGTTTATAGATTAGTTTTCAGTGTGGGCAAGCAGAAAATAAAGATACTGATTAATCAGGACAATTTTCTGTGTGGTGAATGCATGCAGGAGTGCAAACAAGGGCAAACACTTGTACTTAAAAGTGCTGTGAAAACAAAAGGAGCTGCGTCTACCTTTAAAAGATCTTCACCAGCACTCGGGCTAGGCTTTAGAGGTCTGTCTCACAGACTGGACGAAGAGGAGGGGAGAGGATAAAGTGCATATTTTCCTGGCTTGCTGACATTTTGCAGGCCGAAATGGAGCCTTTCAAAGATTTACTTGAACTGATGAAACGACCACAAGGAGATAATATTGATAGAAATCTGTTACCGAACAGGGTATCAATCATGTGAACAAAACTAAGTGGAATAATTGAGGGTATTTTTGTGGAAATGAACCGCTTAATTTAAATTCCCTGTGGCAACCAGCGAAAGATAGTAGTGATTCAAATAAAATACCTTTCATTCCTTGGCTCGTGTCAGATGGGCCTGATGGTTGTGCCCACTCAGACTGTGCGTGTGTGTGTGTAACTTTAGCTACAGACAGATAGAATGTAGCTACATGCAGCCTTTCCTGTAAACTGGACCTTTCTGTGTATGTGTTCAACACTTTTTCCCTGTCTCATGCTCCCTCGCCCTCTCTCTTTCTGTCTAAATAATCCCCCTAAAACCACAATTTCCAAAGCCAAGATAGCACTTACACAGCATGCACTCAGTGTCCTGGCGCTCGCGCGGCGATATCTGTTTCTTTTCATATTTCTGAGCAGAAGGCGAGGTGAACGGGGAGACACGGGAAGCACGGGGCCGCGCAGGAATTCCTCATCCACTGCTGAAGCTCGAGTTTGTGATGTCAGCGACTCGAAATCAGAAGGAATTTTGGTGTGATTGTGTCAAGAGTTTGACGGGAACTGATTTTGTGGAATTGTTCACATCATTTACGATGAGCGGCGGATCTGGAAGTCAGGCGGGGAGGAAGCAGCGGAGGGCTCGAGCTGGAAGCAGGCCTGAAAAGTCCACATTATTCATAATGTCACAACTCTGAGGGATTTTGAGCCTTTCTTTTCCTCAAACCCCAAATCCTAGATGTCAATGAAACAATATTGTAAAATATAATATTAAACATTTTATCTTACATTTTTCTGAACAATAACAAACACACACACACACAGGATCACACTCAGAGCACCAAATTCATGTGAAACTGCTTCACAGTCACCATGCCAGTCTGAGTTGACTCGGTGTAGCCAATCTTATCCTTAATGTCTTTCTGAGCTTCATCACCAGCATTAAAACATCACTGCAACCTCTCTATTTATATATCACCTCCACCAGACATGTCACATCCATTCCTTCAGAGGATGAAACGTGTCCCTGCCTTAACGTTGCCTTTCACAGCATTTCATTCTGCTCCTTGTGTGCTAAATTTCTCACTCTAACTTAAAAGTAAACTGTATAGAAGAAGGTACTTTTTCTAATGAAATGTAAACTATTGGTGGGTAAAGATGTCTAAATTTTCTACTTCATGAAGATAGTTATGTTGCAACTTTTCCCTCACATCTTTTTTATAAGTCACAAACAGTGATAGTGTGATGGTTTAGCCCAGCAGGGAGGAAAGTGACATATTGTTGTATTTCTAGAAGCTTTGGATGGCTTAGCAATCATCCAAAGTATGTGTCCACCGTCTTTTCTCTTTCTGAGGGGAGCTATTGCTGTCTGAGAGATCTTCTGCCCAGTATAATGAACCCTGCGTGTTATTTTACATCCAATAAGCTGTTTGTTGGTGTTGTTGCTCATATAGACAGTGTATTAGTTGAGAAGGACTGATAAATTTTGCATCTATTGTACTGTGGCTCTGGATATTTGGCATTGATTGCTATTATTTTTTAAAGTGGTATTTTGGGGATTTTTTGTGACAATAAGAGAAGCATAAAATAGCTTTGTGTTGTATACATAAAATCCTCCATGACTTTCTTTTAATAAATGTACTGCTGTGCTGAAGCCAGGGACCCACTCCCACCAGATAATAATGAGGAGGAGCAGATCCCCAGTGGAGGTCTACCTGGAGGCCTAACCCTACTAACACTTCTTTCTTCCTAGAAAAATAAAGGTGAACCTAAACTACGTGTTCATTCTTGTACCTACCATGAATCCAAGTTTATATTTAAGCTTCGTAGCTTTCCAGGAACTATAAAAAATACAGCTACGGGACATTTTTAGACTGTGTGACACATCATCATGAGGCCACAAATCAATCCCATGATTAGTGTTATTACTCTGACATTGTACATTTTTTGATGATGCCAACATCGTGACGCCGCGGGGGTGGGAAGGTAGGTTGGGTGAAATACTGACTTGCTCTCAATGCTCCTGGAGTGTGAATGAACGTTAGATAGAAAGGCGTTGGACACATTAGAAAGTGCTTACGTGAATGTGTGTGCGAATGAGACCGTTTGTAATAAACACTTTGCGTAGGAAAGTGCTACACTTCCCTTTACCATTTACTTTGAACACTGATTGCCTGGATCAATGGGAAAAGCCCGAAAGATGAGAACACCCCTTGCTTACTCGGGCAGTACACCGACAAAATTTGAAGTAGATGAGATGAATGGTTCGCGAGAATACCGGTGAAAGCATTTATGTCCAGTTAGATGATTAGATCGTCATTCCTGTACACAATTTTGATGCTGAAACGAGTCAGCAGGTGCAGAATGAAACTATACATAGTGGAGCTGATTGCCACAGACACACTGCTTTAGGGATGCAACGATACCAATTTTTTCAAACCGATACGATACCGATACTTGGATCTGAGTACTTGCCGATACAGAGTACAAAAACCGATACTTCTACCACACACACACACACACGCAATGAATTGGAAGACAGGTTTTATTTTATTCTCTGCCGATAATAAATAATATCTTAATAAAAATGACCACAAAAAAATTTCAAGTGAAAAATAAGCACTTAAATTATTGCAGAGTCTCCACATTGTAATTTAACAGAATATCACTGAACTATTGGCACTGTCTCTAGGGGATGTCACCCTAGTGGCCAATCTAAAAAACTACAACAAAAATGACAAGCCACCCTCTGATTTATGAAATAAATTGGTATCGGTTCATGGTATCGGTTAACTTTTACGAGTATGAGTACACGCACATTTTACAGTATCGGCCCCGATACCCGATACCAGTATCGGTATCGGTGCATCCCTACACTGCTTGTTTGGGGATTTGTTAATAGTAGGAAAAAATATAGATTTATGCCAGCCTTATATGTAAAATGTGACATTTGAGCTCATAGGAAAAGACAGGCATCAAAGACTCGGTTCAACATATGGCATATGTCTCTGATCTGCTAAGACAAACTGATGGGTTCAATTTGTTTAGCTCAGACAAGTGCATATGGGCCATTTTTACTCACTGCTACGTGCAACTCGAGTGACTTTAAAGCTTAACTGCAATGTCAGAGGCATTGTTTAGACCCTAATACTGCGAGACAAACACATGGTGCTTATATGTGTAATGAGGTAAGACGCAAGCTGGAATGCACAAAAGATCTGAGTTGCGGTTGGTGAAATGAATATGACCCCCTGCACCGTGAAGGGTTTTCAGAGATAAAAAAGGCACAGCCAGGCCTGGGGGTGAAGAAGCAAGAGAGGATTTATGACACAGCTACAAGAAACTACTTTGTAATCAAATCTAATTTACACCGTCCTGAGTTTCCCCCAAAACCCGACAGCTGACAGGAGGGGAAATTATTTCCATGTTGACGGGCAACATTTCTACTTTTTCACGCAGTCGTTGCGTTCGAAGCATCTTGAACCTTTTTCCCGAGCAGATTGTGGCAGGGCTGTATTTTTTAAACGATGACATGAGGGACATAAACGCCTTCAGAAATGATCTCTTTTATGTGAAGAAGATTTATGGGTTTTTTGGGTGCGCAAATACACATTTCAAGCTGTAAACATGTTGCAGATGTGGGGGGGAAAGGCTAGATGGCAGGTTTCGAATTCACCACCATGAGAAGCTAAAAAGGGGAGAATTTTATCCTTATGAGTTTGTAATTTCAAGAAACAAGAGACTAACAGGTTCTTTTTTAAAATCTTATTTTTATTTCAAAAATATGAATTGCTTGGAATCGCTGCAACACTGCCAAGAT